GGAAACATCATGGTTTCTCTGGTACAGTATTTATAACGTTCCATGCTTTTGAGGTCAGGAGCATCACTATGCAATTGCTCTCAAACCTGGCCTTATATAAAAATTACCTGGAGCATGTCTTGAGTAAAGAGATTCCTAGGCCCAACCCTAGAATTTAACTTTGTTTAAGAACCACATTTTTAAAAACTGAAGTTTAGACAAGTAAGCGAATCACAGTCATAACATGCATTTCTCAATTTTTAAAATTTTTTTAAACTTTTTTATTATGGAGAATTTCAGACTCACACAAAAGTGGAAGTAGTGTAATAAATCCCCATGAATCCATCAGTTAGCTTCAAGAATTAACAACACATGGCCAATCTCATCTCAAGCATATCATTCTCTTGTCCCCTCTTCATTTTTTTTTTATACAGTGGGTCCTTGTTGGTTATTTATTTTACATATAGCAGTGAGTACAGTCAATCCCAAACTCCCTAACTATCCCTGCCCCCCAAATGAACTTATTTATAAAACAGAAACAGACTAAAGTAAAAAAAAATAATAATCTTTTATTACATAAGAAAAAGTTATGTGATATAACTAGCGGATATATTTATGAATTTGGCAATAAAAATGTGGATAATGAAATTTTTAACCCTTTGTTCTTTTTCAGTATTTGTTGACAAAGAGATAATTTTATTATACTTCAAAAATTGTGAAAATAAATTTATAAAAGCTATAGAAATGAATTTGAAATATGTCTACATGATATTCTATTTATTTTCAGATTGCTTTTTTAAAGACTGAAATGGAGAGAAAGAACAAAATGATCCGAGATCTCCAAAATGAGGTGAGACATATTTCAGGAAAATTTCGTACAAGTCAAAGAATATACAGAAACAAACATATTGATTTGCCATAAGCTCTGGGGTATGATCACATGCAAATATGTCCTTTAGTTAAGTACTAATGGAGAGGAACTATAAGGTTAAAACTTGAGTATATAATCCCTACTTTAACATATATTTGATAATGTTATTAGTTCGTACATCTCCAGGTCATTTTCCCTTCTAATTATATTTTGCTTGGGCAATGTTAAAAATTTATTTGTATTTTATAAATGTATTTGTCTACCAAATGACATCACAGGCACTGAAGAAGAGAACTAGTTAGAAATGGACCTTATGTTAGGAAAAGTCAATCTAGAATGAAAAATTTATGTGAGGTAATCTTAGAGTGATGTAGGTTTGAAATAAATAAGCTGTAACTGCTTTCCTTACAGCCTTTAAAATGTAAGGATCCTATAAAATGCTGTACGATTTTTCCTCCTTTTGACTTTTTGTCTACCCTGTTACATAACTACTTTATTTTCTAAAATTTCTCCATCATATTTGTATTTCCACCTTTTTATTTCTTTTTTTCCTTGAATGAAATTAGTTATTTAGAACTATTAAACCGTGATTAATTAAAGATACATCTTTAAGGTGGATTTTAAATCCCAAATCAACTGCTTTAGCCATTTCTAGTTTCCTTTGTTCCCCTTCCTTCCTCCCTCCCTCCCTCCCTCCCTCCCTCCAGAGAATTAGCTGCATTCCTGACTGCAACTCAGAGTTGCTAGCAGCTTTTGGGTGGGGGTCAGTGGAAACAGGAGAAAAATAAAGACAAAACAAATAGAGAGTACCTGTGACACTGGAGAGGAATTTCAAGAAGAATAAAGGCACATTTGCTAAAGTGGCAGGAGGCACAACCCTGTGCTATCCAAAGCACAAGCTTAGGTCATGGACTTTGTTTCCAGCAGCATCTACACCAACTGAGGGATAGAAATGATCCTTCTTTCCTTGCTTCCTTCCTTCCTTCCTCCCTCCCTTCCTTCCTTCCTCCAATCTTTTGAGACATTTCAAATACACATGAACTACATTATTCCTATATCATTTACACCTTCATGCCCAGGTTAAAAAATAGACTATACAAATGCCTTGGTATCAAGATTCAGCATTTGTACTCTGATCATGACATTAAAATGGTTTATCAAATGTGCAAAATGATGTATAGATAAAAGGAAAACAAGAAAAGTTTTAAGTGTCTTCCTTATGATTCTATTGTATTTTCACTTCTTTCTAATGATTTTTTCTTCTGAGTCTTCTTAAGAAAGTCTAATGAGATGGACTTGATAATGTTTTCCCTGAGGCCTATATCTCGGATTTACTGTTTATGGTGGAAAATGTCAGTAAACTAGAGTTACCGAAATACCGGTTGTACTAGATAATTTCTTGTTCTCTGGGGCTCAGAGAGGGCCCGATTACTCAAGTCTAAAACTTTCCATGGATCATTTAAGACAAAGGGAATGTTTAAAACAATGTTAAAGCCAGTATTAAAATAGGAAAGTACATTTAGACGTGTATACACACATCCATGCACACACACACACACGTACACAACAACAACATGAACCCCGTTGTATAAGAATGAGAGGATTATGGACTAATTTATATCTCTGTGTGTGTATTATCAGTTAACTTTTCATCTTACATAATTTTTTAAAAATCTAGAATTTAAGGCGGAAGCTCTTTTAAAACCAAACTATAAATTATTCATATCAGGTACCTATGAGGATTAACAGAATATTTTATTTCCTTCCACGGGATCATTTTTTAAGTTTATTATTAATTTTCTAAGTGTATAGGCTAGAGTAATTAAAAAAGCAATACAACTCTTCAGAAATAATGGCTGCCAAATGTAAGCTTTGTAATTAAATTTGCTACTATTTACTTTCATCATATTGAAAATCTGCAAGGTGATACTTGATAACCAGAAAAGTCTTTGACTTCTCTAACAAAACCTAATGGTGAACATATATTATCAACTGAATGCTTTTAATTTGACTCCTTTTTATTAATTCATTGAAATTTTAGATTTGTTATTTTGACAAATAATCAGTATGTAGAGGTTAAACAAAATACTTGGCCCATACTCTGCACAGTAAAATTATACGGACACTACCTGAAAGATTTTTGTTCAGGAGTAATAAAATAAAAAGGCAAATTGACTAAACAAAATACAGAGAGGTGAGGGAGATCATACAGGTATAAAGAGATTTCTGGGAGAAGATCAAAATCTCCTGAATGACTTCTGAGTGAGGATATTGGGGAAGTCCCAATTTAAGAAGGGACTTTTGAAAAGTTATTAAAGAATGATCTATATTTTTTTCATATGTGAAGGTAAATATCTTAAAAGGCACTTTTATGTTAGAAGCTAGACATTTAGTTTTTAAGATTTACCTCATCCCTTGGAGGGGGAAAATATTTAGATTTTATTTTTAGGCAAATGCTGTATAGGGCGGAAAGCATTTTGATTTTTCCATCCAGGCAGTCATATCTGGAATGGAATATATGGGACCCCGTGATTCAAAGACTGTGTTCATAACTGGGAAAGAACATCAGAGAATATTTGGAGAATATGGATAGCAAAGTGAGAATGCAAAAGAAAAAGAAATAGGAGATTTTTTTTTTTTTCAACCAAGAAAGTTAAGAGTGAGACTGAAAAGAGTGTAGCTATGAGTTAATCACAGTATTTAAAGCTCCTTTATTTTATCTGTCTCTGTGGGTATCTATGTCTTCACATGGACATCACATTTAACCTGTGTCTGGGATTGCTTTTTTTTTTTTTTTTTTTTTTTTTTTTTGCGGTATGCGGGCCTCTCACTGTTGTGGCCTCTTCCGTTGTGGAGCACAGGCTCCGGACGCTCTCGCTCAGCGGCCATGGCTCACGGGCCCAGCTGCTCCGCGGCATGTGGGATCTTCCCAGACCGCGGCACGAACCCGTGTCCCCTGCGTCGGCAGGCGGACTCTCAACCACTGCGCCACCAGGAAAGCCCTGGGATTGCTTTTACTCACAGAAGCTTTATTGAGATTTAGGGGGTCTCCAAATTTCAGGTCTAGGCCTTCTGCTTTTCTGCTTATATTCTCTTTCATGGAACATGCAAGTCAAATCTATTCTGCCACAGTGTGTATTTCTTTGTACCAAATCACCTTATTGGCAATTAATAAATGATGGAATGATGTCAGTAAAGTTTGAAAAATTGTGTTGGTTTATATGTAATTTTTCCCAACATGTTGAGGTTTGAAGCAATCAGGGGAAAGCCTTGTCAAATTTTAGAGAAAAAATTTATCATACAAAGACAAAAAAAAATATGCAAAAGGACCTCCCTTTAGTACATGTAGTTGTGTTTTAGTGCCTTCAAAACATTTTAAAAAATGTTTCTTACTGCACCAAGATATCTGACTAAACTGTGAATATAGAAGACTCTGAGGCATTCCCCCGTATTAAAATAAGAGATTAGTGAAAAATATGTATCAGAAATTAATTCTGATGATAATCTACTTTATTAGAAGTCAATTCCCTGTAGGGTCTACATCTCAAAAGAGAAAACAGTAAATTCTAAGTGTAAGACTGTGCAAAGGATTGAGTATGATTTGGGGGATAAATGCTAGAAAATATTAAACTGTGGTTATATTTTTATTACCATTGTCATTATTTTGTTAATATTATGATCACAAAATTACACAGTAAGTGGTCTTCCTCAATCACAAATTTCTCATACATCCTGTATTTTTAGTGTACACATTTGCAGAATATGTGACTTCTCACAATGCAAAAATTGATTTATAGTAGCTATCTCACCATTTTTTTAGTAACGTCCTAATCTGTCTCTAATTCTGATGTCTCTTATGTAATCCGTTTTATGCATTCAATTACTTATTTTGCATATTGTATTTGGATTTTGTATGGTTACAGCAAATGTAAAAAGTTGTACCGGAAAGAAAAACAAAGAAACAAAAACACATAGCCTTTCTTCTCTGACTTCCATAACTGCATCATCATGTGATATAGACAATCTTATTGACTCCAAAGCTTAGAATTCTCTTTGACTTTGCACTTTTAAAGCACTTTCTCGCTATTGTCATTTCTTATTTTCTTTAATTTTATCCACTGTTTCCCCTAGGATAAAATAAGTTTCTCTATAGTGGTTCCAGATATAAGAAAGAGATAAGTAGGGTAATACATAGGTGTTGAAATATTAGATAAATTAGGCATTGAGACAAACATCTCTGATTAGTTTGAAACTCCTTAATGAAATGTGAGAGTTTGATAATGTTCAGGACTTTTCAAAGGAGTACATAGCTACAAATACTTGAATTAGATTAGTATTAAAACATAGTCTATATTAAATTAGTGAGTACATAGAGATAACAAAGGGAAGGGAAGAAAAGTGAAAGGAAGAGAGAGAGGGAAAAAGAAAGGAAGAAAGGAAGGAAGGGAGGAAGGAAAGAAAGGAAATGAAGGAAGGGAGGGAAGGAGGAAGGAAGGAAGTAAAGAAGGAAGGAAGGAAGGAAAGAGGGAAGGAAGGAAGGGAAGGAGGAAGACAGGCAAGTTGGGGAAGTAGCCCCACCCCAAATCTCTTCTGTGATGGTTTGTTTTAGTATAGATTCTTATGATTGATTATTTTCCCGAGACTCATTCAAGATAGTTCGAGGTAAGGAAAAAATAAGAAATCACATTTCTAAAATGGTAATAATAAAGTCAGGAACCATAAAAGTGTGCCTTACTCTGCCAGTGATAGAAATCAGAAATTTGTCAAAACTACTCTCCATAGCAGGTTTTCCCTCTCTCTATTTCATGGCTCCATTTTCCTTTCTTTCTAGTCTCTCAGTTACTTAGCTCATCTATTTTTCGCATGGCTCGTATAGTTTAACCCAACTTTGAAATACTAATCTGCCTTCTCTATCTCCTACTAATAACCAATTTAATCTTCTTTAATGTTTTGTTTTATTGCTGTTGTAATAAGTGCCT